TAAGAGAGAGAGAGAGAGAGAGAGAGAGTGGTAAGTTGTCTTTGTTTGGTGAGCCAAACGAACGATGATGCAACAATATGCGGATAAACTTATTGTTTATTATTTCCGTTTCGATCCGATCTGTTCTTGGTGCGCTGCAATTACGACTGAAGTGTAAAATTTCCATCAGAGAGAGAGACATTAAGGTAAAAGAAAATCTTTATAATTCAATGGAAGGCAAGCTTCTACTTACGTATTTTAAATTTCCAAAAATACGAAATACAATGATATTTCATTTGGAGATATAATTAATGGATCTTTTTTCAGTATTACGTGTGAAAGAACTAAAAAAAAAAGGACAGAATAAAAAAGATTGAAAACGAACAACGACTTTTTCAAACCTTTCAGTTTTTCAGTGGCCACTCTAATCTAACAAAAATTGTTATTTAATCATTTATTTATACATTATTATATTTTCACCACTTTGGCGAATTCTGGTGTAACAAGGATTATTTTTTTGGGGGGGGGGCACAAACATTTAATTTTATGACTGAAGCATAAAATTTCCATCGGAGATATTAAAAAGTAAAAAAGAAAAAAAAAGAACAGAAGAACTTTATAAAAAAAAAACTTTGTATAGTAGAGTACGAAGAATCATTTAAGTCTCTAAAAATACACTGTTTTATATCTAAACAAAAATCATCAATTGGTCATTTTGACCATTTTGACCATTTTTGTCATTTTGGCCATTTTGACCATTTTTGTCATTTTGGCCATTTTGACCATTTTGGTCATTTTGACCATTTTAGTTCTAGTGTTAACGTTGGCCACGAAAGCACACGTATTAAGCAACTTCGTCGGTATAGTTAGTTCATCTGTTCCAGATGACGTGCGATTCAAAGATATATTTAAAAGAATCACGGGATTCCGTTTGCACAAATCAGTGTCAACGATGGACGTACGTGACGGCTCGTTATCTTCATTACATTGGAAACGAAATGTTATATTTCCCGCGTGATTCGTATTCTTCGTTCCGAAATAGAAAACTGGTCAGAGATGGTCTTGACAGACAGCTTTAATTAACTGTCATCGTGAACTGTACGTCTCGGAGAATTGCGATTTATTACAAACAATTTCGTAATTTTTCTAAATAATCGCGTCTTGTATACCGTTCTAAATGTTATATTATTGTGAACCGGCCATATAAGCAGCGGGGGAGAATAATTTCAGGATAAGTGAATTTTTTGCATTTCTATAAATGAAAATTTAGCTTTCCAATTTCTTTTCTTTCGTTACTACTTTTTTAAATTTTTTCTTCTTCTTCAAATTAGTGGCTTCCTCCATGTCGAAAAATTCACTTTCCATGGCCAGAAGGAAGGTTGAGAACCACTGCTGTGAACTTGTTCGATGCGATTGTTGCATTTGCGAAACAGTTTTCAGTTAATCAAAGTAGACGCCTCCTTACGTCACTGCTTTCATCCGACGACGAGCTGCTTTTGCAGCCTGAAAGAATAATGTTGTCAGCCGACGACAAGTCGTTCCGGTCGAACGGAAGAGAAAGAAAGGAGAGAGGCGCGTGAACGAGAGATGGGCTAGGCGATGAAAGCCGGCGAAAGCGAATCACTTTCAGTCAAGTTCGGTGACTGTGACCTGGTGACACCGGCATGCGGCACCACCTGAAGCCCCTTCCCCCGTGTCATCCTTCCTTCACGAAGAAGGGGTACTCTAAACTTAGCCACGGACTCGAGGAAACTCGACTCGTATTCAGTGCAAAACCACCATCCTCTCGAATCAGTTTCTTCACAGCCTATTCTTCACTGCTGCTCTCCCTCTGTGTGTGTTCTCCCTTACGCTCAACACGTTCGGTTTCAAATTAACGTTTGACAAATATCTCGGAGAATGGCGTACAGCTGGGACAATCGGGTAGATTTCATTGTAAGATTTCTTTATGGTTAGTAATAAAGCGGTTCTATTTTCAATGGAATTTGCGTGGCCGTACCTTGGCAAATAACCTGTTGATTAACTTGGCGTAAAGAGTGATAACATCATCGCTACCCCAAGTCGAGAGCACGTTTATCAAAGTGGTCCAGTTATCCACAGAAATAAAATCGATGTGTAATTCGTGTGAAATCTGATAAATCCTTTCAACAAAATGTGTCATTTTTAACATCGATACCTGTTCGGGGTAAAATTTGTTTCTACTCACCAAATGTCAGAAGAGTAAAGAGAGTTTACTTATGCTCTAGAAAACTATGCTAGTTAGGGTAGAACCGGCTAACTGGCGGCCCGCGGGCCTTTGCCCCTACTTTGCTGATCGCTAGCGCTACCCCCCTTCCCCTCCACTGCATCGATCTCTCCACTAAATTTCCTCGCCATGCACGAGCCCCACTCTCCCACCCGACGCAGTGGAGGGGGTAGCGTCAGCGATAAGGAAAGTAGGGGCAAGGGTCCGTGGGCCGCCAGTTAGCCGACTCTGCTCTAGAGGACGAAAAAATAATTCTGTTCTGGCTTCGAGGCTGTCATGCTTGTTTAGGATGTAGGTTGATTTCAAAGTATACCATGCCGTCGGATTGCATGCAATCGGTTGATGCCAAATTTAAGCTTAGCTCCAATTTGTCTTATGGAACAATCTGTTCGATGTTTCTCAAGTGTTTGTTTGATATATGCACGCCCTGACTGCGTGTAAACGACACATCGTTAACAATCTACATGATGTTCTAACAAACATCTAAAAATCACAAAATCTAATAATAACAGTAACAACAATGGCAATGGCCTAACCTGTACACGAAGAAAAAGAAAAAAAACAGAAGTTTGTTCATGGTTCGAGCTCACTCGCGTATACGTAAATGAAATAAAGAGTTTTACAAAGTTGATTTTACGATTCGAAGATTTAAAAGATATCGATAGTTGATAACATGAAGAAAACTCGACGACTCGAAAGCCGAGAGAAGTCGATGACTCGAAGTCGATAATTGATCCAATCGAGCAATCGATTAAAATTTTCGTCACGATTGTCATCTCCGAGTATAAAATACGATTTGGATCGGACGTGCACGTGGGGCGACCAGTGTCGACCTTTGCCAAAAAGCGAAATACTTGGAACGCGTCCAGCTGCACAATGACCAGATTTCCTTAAAAATAAATTGGCACGATCCGATTGATTAATTGGCCGCATGTATTGACTTTTGCGCTTCCTCGCGATCACCAACTCATTAATTTCACGATATATTTGTGTTACACAGACATAGACAACAATGGCATATTGGAGAAGCACGATTTCGAATGCATGGCTCTCAAGATGACCTTAATCGAGGGGAAAGGAGAGTTCAGTTACGGCCGTTATCAGGAGAACCTGCACATTATGCTTTCCCTGTGGGAAGAAATCGCAGAGCTTGCCGATTTCAACAAAGTAAGACCGGTATACAGGGTGATTCACGTAACTTGCACACCTGTGCAAATAACCTTTAAATTATGCGTCCAATGAAAAATTGTTTAATACAAAAGTTGTGTGGGTTTAAGAGAGGCAAAATATCGCGTATCAACTTTTTGTAGGTTTCGAAATTTCCGACGTCATCTTTATCTTTTTTAACTGGACTATAAATTTTTTTCATCATGAATCGACAATCTGATCATCAAATGATTCTAATGCTCTATACAGTTTTCATTCTCGATAATTATCTCCTTAATCATTAGGTTTAGGTTAATACTTGCTCACTTGGAATTTAACATTTTTGAGAATTTCGAAACGCAGAAAAATTGATACACCATATTTTAAAATCGTACAACTTTTGTATCAAACAGTTTTTCATTAGACGCGTAATTTAAAAGTTATTTCAATTAACTGTGTGCACCTTATGTGAATCACCCTTAGAATGGCGCATTTTGCTTCTGTCATAAATCTCCTTAATCATTAGGTTTTTTAGGATGTGGTTTAATACTTGCTCACTTGGAATTTAACATTTTTGAGAATTTCGAAACGCAGAAAAATTGATACACCATATTTTAAAATCGTACAACTTTTGTATCAAACAGTTTTTCATTAGACGCGTAATTTAAAAGTTATTTCAATTAACTGTGTGCACCTTATGTGAATCACCCTTAGAATGGCGTGTTTTGCTTCTGTCATAAAACATCTCGTTTCTTATTATCGTTTCTCGTTCAGGATGGCATTGTAACTATCGAGGAGTTCAAGGAGGCAGTGCAGAGAAGTTGCGTCGGACGAGAATATCGAGACTTCCCGCAGGCGATGAAAATGTTTATCGACAGTCATTTTAAGATAGTAGACTTAAACGGTGCGTAAATCCGACTCGCGCGTTGTTTGTTTGCCCGCATACATGTCCTTAATATTATTATCATATCGTTTTTAGACGATGGTGTAATCGCTGCCGATGAATTTCGCTACAATTGCGTAACAAGAATTCCTGTGGACAATGTAAACATCTTGGACGAAGCCTACCAAAACCTTCTTAACGTAAGAGATCGTGTTACCAGTCGCTTTGAAGGATGAACGATTCAAACATCGCTAATCCGATTTGCAATGTAACAGTTTGTCGACGTATCGCAAAACCGTTTATGCGCAGAACTGTTTCTGACGCGTTGATTGATCTGGCGAACCTAACCTAAAATCGAACGCTTCCAATATGCAACATCTCACGGTTTTAGACAAAATTTCAGAGAATTCTATTCTCGGTGTAATATCGATACCAAAGAGAAAAGAAATAATAAAGATTAACGAATAGGATCGAATTAATTTTAAATTTAACGTAAAGAACAATAGCTTGAAAGTCTGCCAAGTTTGACCAACGTAAACTAACCGTTCGTGCAAGCTATAATGTTTTATGCTTTCATAAACATGGTCACGATATAAATGCTAACGCGGCTCGAGAGAATATTTCTTACAACGTTGTTCAATCGTTTGACGCAGGACGACGACCGGCGACGCGGGGGGCTGACGTTATCACGTTATCAAGAACTATACGCGCAGTTTCTTGGTAATCCGGACGAGAATTGTCCAGCAGTTCATCTGTTTGGCCCTTTACATGCGATGGATTAATTACACACGTGTTTTACATGTGTTTCGAGGCAAACGGTGATTCTCACGTGTGCACGTACAAAAAAAAAAGACAATCCTTTAATATATTATTAACATTATATTAATTTATGTAAGATGTATGATATATACGCAATAAATCCTCTATTTTATTGTAAAATCCTCGGTCTCTGTGAAAGAAAGTAATATCCGCCAGCACTGTTTTTCCACACTACTACACATGCACAGAAAATATATCGTTCTTCTACATATGAATACACAGAACACCTGTATCGTACAAACAGAAAAGAATTTTATTTGCATTACGTGTTAACATGGTATTGTGTTGTTCGGATATCTCTTTGGTAGTATTGCCGTGCTTTGTCTCCATCACACAAAAATTTAATACTGAAGATTTTGCGGTGATATGTTGTTCATGGAATTTCTCATACGCGAATGAACCTGAGTATAATTTTTACGTTTCATTGTATTACCCGAGTACGGCACATTTTTATTTAACACTCATAATACTTCTTTTTGTTAACCACGTATACATGTAGGGCATGCTTTTGACTCTTTGAATACTAACCTCATACGTATAACGAATACTCAACT